AGGATTGTTTCGTTAAAATCCGGCTGTTGGTAACGATTATTCTTTCTTGCACTTTTTTTTTTTAAATACAGATTTTTGCCAAAGGCCGCGCACACACACACACACTCAAAACACGAGGCAAGACACCTGGAATGAACTGTTGACGTGTCAGTGACGTCCCACTGTGTCGCCATACTGTAGCTAGAGGCGCTCCGCGTCCCTGACGTCACACCGCGCGTCCTTACTTCAGGGCTTACCTGACTCTCGCCTTTTCCTCCTTCGACATGGCCCCCACCTCCGGCCGGCACACCGAGAGCACGGCGGCCAGGCACAGCAGCGCCTCGCCAGGCAGGCCCGTCCGCCGGGGTCCGCTAACTCCCATTTCGGGTGTACTTACACCCCAAAACCCGCCGCGCCGCCTCCTGCTCACGCGTCCTGCCAATAAGTCCCCTTGACTGAGATCTCCGATTGTTCACTTTTCAAGGAAATCTGACTGAGCCCTGAAGTTATTGCAGAGGGTTAGATATCTGGTTTCTTCGGCTTGGTTACAAACTCCACAGAGCACCTTCTTGCACTTGACTGTACGCCGCTTCCTTGTAGGACAAGAACTCACGCGTTACACCAAAATCTCCTATAGAAGAGCGAAATGTAGATATAAAAAAAAAACTCCACTATTCGGCTGTCACTGGCTCGTCGTGGACGCTGTTAGGTTTCGACTTCCTGGAAGTCCAATACGGTCCAGTTCGGAGATCAGGTGGCAGGACGGGATCACGGTCCCGGGAAAACTCAGGTTTCCACTCAGATGCTCCTTCTTTCAGACCCCAGGTTTTCCAGGCGAGCGCACACCTGCGCACAGTGCGCTGTCAATGACCTCGGATGCGCGCACACGCGGTTCGGGTCCGGTCCGGTCCGGTTCGGTGACGCTGGGTGTCTCCTGTCCTGCCCGCTGTTCAGGCACAGCCGCTGCTTGCGTCACACACAGCCACGAGCCCTCGCGTCAAGTGGGGTCCCCCTGTATGGCTGCGGGCGCCCCGAACTCCGCCGCAACTCCATTCGCAACTTTACAACCCGACAACAAAGGACAGGATCCGGCTACCAGGGGAAAAACAGACCCCCCCACTTCAGCGTAATACCACTCTGGGCATTATTTTAACCCGCCCCCCCGAACCGAGCCCCTAATCCTTCGCTCGGGTCCCCACAGCAGTGATACAGTCCTAACGAGGAACCCCGCAAACTCCCCGCCTGTCCCCCAGACCAGGAATGCGGCGACTGCTCTCCTTCAGACAGATTTAAAGAACCAGCTGGTTCCTGCATACGGGGATTTCACCGAGGCCCGCGGTGCATGTCGGGACTTGTAGTTTCGCTGATTGTAATCTTCCCACCTTGTGAATTCGCTTAGCGTTGAAATCCACATGAGAACTCGGAGGGAGGAGACCCTAGCTGTACTGCTGATCGTTGGTCTGGTGAAAGGCTGTCTTCTGGACCTGGGGGAAACCTCGGTATTCTGTGCGCCGGGTCTCCGAGTACAGAAGCTACGTCTTTACCCAGAGAGTGGTGGGAGTATGGAACTATTTTCCTAGAATTGATGTTGACGCCAGTAACCAGGCTGGATAAGATCCAGGGCCGGCTCGTCCGTATAGGCGAACTAGGCGGTCGCCAAATTTGAGGAGGAAAAGGTAAAAATACTCTATTTTCTTCAGTAAAAGTTTTTTAAAAAAACGATGATGTACATATTTCAATTCAAGTGTATGTAAGGAGGGAATGTGAATTTGCGAGAGACCGAGGATCAAGAGAAATCTTCTACTCTGCTTAATCACAATTGAAGAATAAACGTTTAACACACAGAAAGACACACAAAAAAAAAAGGCAGAAGAAATCCAGATTAACAGAGAGAAGCAGGAGCACCAGGTGAGTGGGACTTGTCCCGCTCTCGGATTTAGCGATGCGTGTATAGAACACGAAGACCGAAATCTCTCCGCAATGGGCTTGGAAACCTTCCTAGAGCCCCACCCGGAGTCCCTGTAGACGAGTTTCTGCACACAACCTCCACAAGTCCGGATTCGCGGCTCCCCTCGCTTCGCGGCGCAGTATCTCGTCCGAGAGGAATTAACCCTCACTGCTCAGCAGCCGCCGGGAAGGGATTCTGCAGTCCCACAGCTGAAACAGAAGCTGTTCTGGGGGACTTGAGGGGCGATGAAGGTTTTGGAGAAGACTGGTAGAATCTGAAGAAGGAGGCTGAACCAGTTTGCTAAACTGGGGGGAAGGGTGGGCGCCTGTCGTTCTCGTACTAATCACCCGACGGGCCTCTCGTGTGTCACTGTTCGTGCGTCCTGACGCACAGTATTGAACAGGATTACAGCAGGCGGGCTGAGGAACAGACTCATCCGCGCAAAATACCAACAGAGCCGCAGTGAGCTTCCACTGCAAGGGGTAAATATATATGGTACCAGGGGGAAACGCGCTCACCACCCTGTTAAAAACGCTTGCCACAAGGCCGCAAACCTGCCCCCCCCAAATCTAGATCTACCAAAATAAGTGATCTGGAAATCAAGTGCTGAAAATGGACAATGACGTGTGCACAAGTCCGTGTCACTACGAATGACGTATTGCAGACGTATGTTTATTTGGGCCTAACTCATAAACAGATATATGCTGGCACCGGTACACAGCGCCACAGGAGAACCTCGGGATGCGATATGGAGCAGTCTGTCGAAACAAAAGCCGAGATCACGCTTGTAGCGAAAACATTGAAAAGAGGAAAAACTACATTTCCCAGAGAGGATTGCGAAGAGCGTGCCTTTCGCCATGTGACTGCAGTTAGGAGGCACGGTACAGGGAAGTTGACGACCTGTGACAGTCGCTGCCTTTGCAGCTGATCGCACAGATCGCAGAGCAATAACGGCAAGCAGGGTTTGTCTAGGCTTGCTCGTGTTTGATCCCTTGGAAGGCAGAGGAAGAGTCCGTGTGATATCGCTTTCGATCTCTGCATGACGATGACGATGATGATGATGATGCCTGTAAGTTCTCGATCGGAGTTCTTTATTTCTGTCAAGTTCTGTCATGGTCTGTCTTGTAAACTATCGTTAGCTGTCGTCTGTCTGAATCGATCCATGATTGTTTTGAAGGAAGAAACGGCGATCGAAGGTAGCTAAATGTCAGGAAAACTCTGCCTTCGAATGGGACAACTATTGACTCAGCAGCAGAAGCGCACGGAAAACAACTTAAATAAGCTATTGCATTTAAAATGTAGAAGTTGGAGGAGGGTATATGAATAGATTTTGAATCTAATCACATTTTTGAGTGTGTTTGTTTCCTTCTGAAATGCGTATTGTGCGAATTGTGGTGTTCGTCGGCGTCCAGTGCCAGACGAGGTAGCGGCGTAGCGTGTGTCGGACTCACTTCTAAGAAAAGGGAACATTTTCAAACATCCAGTGCGTTTCCGAAGAAGGCTGGGCACGTGTTTTTAACGAGGTCGTCGTGGGGAGGCTCGCAGTGGGTTCCTGCGAAAACAGACGGCGACTTTATCTTATCGGGTTTTTTTTTTCGCAAACAAGCACTCGCCTCGCCACACTGCGGGAATTTTCCGCGAGTATACAGCCGTGTCCTGCGACTGGGGGGGTCACCGAGGGAAAGTTAGTGCTGACGGCGCGAGGGTGACCCCAGGCAGAGTTCAAAACGTCAGCCGTGGGAGCCGCGTTAAATACTGACAAGTATTATTCAAGAAGCTTTTGAAACCACACCCTGTGCATCGGTGCGTTTGACTTGGTTTTAAACGTGTTTACGAAGGGATTGCACGACTGCACAAGTCGAGGAAGGATAATATTTGGTCACTGTGCGTTGCTTCATTTCCAGTCGTTGCAGACATATTCCAAATGGCACTACTGTTTTGGTGAACTACTGGTTTATACTATTTTTCCCATTTCTTTTCAGGCCATGATGAGTTAGTTAGTCCGACACCCTCAGAATCCCCCGGGCTATAAAGATTCTGCTGGAAAAACCTGCTGTTGCGATTTGCAAGCCACAATCACACACGCAAATACACACACACACACACAAATACAAAAGCATTAAACCTTTCCTTTGTGGAGTAAAAGGAGCAAACTATCAAGGCTAAAACTGTTTTTGCAGTGCAATGGCTTGTTCACATTTGTAGTTTAATATAAAGTAGGGGCAGAGGGCACAGAGTTAATTTTTCCAGGCCCGGCAAATCTTAATGCGAGGAGAGAGTGGAACAAAACAGCAGCTAGTTCACCTGTATGGGCTTGAGAGGAGCAGCCCATTCACCTAGCACCTCGAGGGAAAGCAGTCAGCAAACTCGGCGAGGCGATTCTGTCTGGAGCAAAGGTCTCTGTGCTGTTGGTTTTCTAGGAGGGGTTTGTTGAATTCTCCGGCAGACAGCCCCCCCCGCTGCTTGGAAAGGCGACAGCCAGACACCCCTGCCCCTTTGACAAACACCGGGCTCTCCGTGATCGAGCAAGGCAGGCCATTAGCTCTCCGCAGCGCGCCCAGGGGGATTGTGGGTTTCAAACGACGACAAAGGCTTGCAGATTAGTGCACCCCGAAGCCTAAGTGAGAAGCCCTGCGCTGGGGAGGAGGGGGTCCGGCGTTCACACATCGCAGGAAATACCTCGGCCACTGGCCCTTATCTCTGCGGCCCAGGGGGAAGTGTCTTTGCTCTAGTCATGCCTGAGCGCTATCTGCTGCACATCGGAGCAGCGGCGCTCGAGAAGCAAAATGAAGTGGCCAGTGAGGGGAGGCCGGGCTGCCGTTCGGGGGAGAAACGACTGGCAGATCTTTTCCCAGAGGCAGTGGAAGTGTTCAAGCCCATACCTGGCTCCTTTCAAGGACCGGGCCCAGGGGTCAGTTCGTCTCGCTTGCTGTTTCTTAGGTCCCCACGGCCGCGCTGGTCTGTCTCACGGGAGTCTAAGTGAGCTCTTTCGTGCGGGCCCCGCTCTCGCGACCGACCGCCGCCCTGCGCCGGCTCTCGGTTCACGTTCCCCGCTGTCCGCCTTCTGTTTTCCAGATGCACTTCGAAGACTCCAGCAGCGTCACGCTACTTTTTGATTTCTGGGACGTGCACGGCCCGGCAGGTAGGCGCGGAGCTCACCGAGAGCGATTTCAGCGACCCGCTGCTTGGGTCAGGGTCTCGTGAAGCAAGTAGGAAGGTGTTTGTGTGTGTGTGTGTGTGTGTTGTGTTGTGTTGTGTTGTGTGT